TGTCTAATAAATTTTCCCAACGCGAGTAACCAGCTAGCTGTGGCTTCACGAAGCAGCACAAACACAAAATTAGAGGATTTCAAAGTCCATAATTACAGAATCAAAATGAAGTAATGTGCCGATTAATGGGGGATTTAACCATTTTTATCCCCTTTTTTAATAGAGACCTTATCTTCTTCCGTGTCAGGGTATGTTGATATGTACGTTCGTTTATTTTAATGGGGATGTTTATGTTGCTTATATATCTTTCTCTTTTTTTTTCTTTACCTACTTTGAATCTATGTAAATTTTTTTTAGCCACACTTAAAAGTAGTTTGAAAAAGTTTAAAAAATATGTTTTTTTTAAGTAAATTTTTTTATTAAATTTAAAAATTTATTCAAAAAGATTTACAAATTTACTTTTACAGGTTATTTGGATAAAAATTAGTAAAGGAAAAGGAAGGAAAGAGAAGGGAGGAAAAGGGAAAAGAAAAGAAGAGAAGACAATAGAAGAAAAGAGTCGATATTAATCTTATTTGGATAAATAAAAATAGAAGAGGGAAAAAGAAAATATTTTTATTCAAGTAAGTAATTTTAAAAAATAAAATAAAATAAAATATTTAAAATTTACTAATTAAAACAATAATTGAAATAAAATATTTTTATATATTTATTTTTTAAAAAATATTAAAAAAAATTAAATATATAAATCAAATCCTTCTTAATTCTTCCCATTTAAAAGGCTAAAAAACAATAAAATCAAAAAGATTTTATCAACTTTCCATCTCCCTCCATCTCTCTTCCCCTCCGTCTCTCTCCCTCTCCATTAATGAAACTCTCCTCCACTTATCCTCGACTCCGCCCATCTAAACAGGGCTTAAAGTTGCTTTGAAGGTCACGTGCTACATCCGGAGAGTTTCAGGGACGATGTACATACTTCGGCCTTTAGTTCTAGAATTGCTATGGTAGCGATCACAGAGTACAAAAGCTGATTGTTTCTTCATTACATAGAGACAAAAACTGAAAACGACAAAAGACCCAAAGCACATCTGCACATGCGGTGCAGGGCAGTTGCCTTCTAGTTCTAAAATAGAAATAGTGGTCTGTTTTAGAATCGGTTTCACGTTCAAAGTCATGATGAGTACTAGTTGCACGTTGCAATAATTGCTCGCCATTTTCTCTTTGCCGCACGTGTCAGGTCAAAAGTGCTTGGAAGAACAATTTTAGCAGCCGGCTAGCCTATTCCAATGTCTAGAAATAAAAACAAAATTAGAAGACAAATATAGACATAAACTTATCAAATCTCAAGCATGCATCCACTGCCAACTATATGTCATTTTAGATATATTTAAAGTTTAAAATTTAATTAGAATTAATATCTAAATATATAGTATTAAATAAATAAATAAATGTAAAAATGTCAGAGTTTCAATTTGAGTGAAAATGAACCAAGCCTTTAAGTCCAATGATTCGACCTCAAGTTTTAAAGTGCTTGAATGAAGTGGTCGGAGTTTCCAATCCTACCACCATCTTGAAAACTCCCTTTCCCTATCCCCCAAATTATACACTGTTCAAAAAAAAAATTTGAGTGAAAATGAAATAATCTTCTATAATGGTCATTGGGATGTGCGCAGGTTATTAATTTGACTCGGTCCACCGAAAGATCCTTTTGCAATCCCCTCAACTCGAACTTATGGAGCAAGACATGAGTAATTAAACACCAGGCTTTTGATAACCCTAGCACCCTAGTTTTATTTTTTAATGGCGGCAAGTCATGCATGCATGTCCCTTCTTTTGTACAAGCGGATGAAGCACTTTTATTTTTTAAGGATATATGGTTCCCCCTAATGCATAAAGTTCGTTATTAGTGGTGCATACATGTAGTACTTCAAACCAGCTTTAAACTACAAATAATTGAACCTCGATTTTGTTTTTGTCTTTATAAATAGCTACTAGCTAGGATACTATCTGCTGCACAAAATAAAGTAATAAACCCATATCTAAGCATATACCCACTTCAATCCTTAACCAATTCGGAACAAATCAATCTTGTTTTCAGAGTAAGTCCCGTATCTTAGCCAAGTGCGTCATGTCTGTGTCAGCCGTTGTTGCGAGAAAACCACCGAAACGCACTGATAGACTCAAAAGGTTTGCCATCCCAACAAAGACATTACAATTGTTCCCACAATTCAATGGTCATAAATTCGTGCCAGTGAACCTTTGGCAAGGCCCAATCATTTGGTCTATGGTCATATCCACTCGCACGCATGGCTACAAAAAACCTGTAATCTCCAAGGGTTGGATACCCTTTGTCCGCAAAAATCAGTTGGAGGTCGGTGATGTAGTCACAATCTTCAGGAACGAAGACGAAACAGGAATCTGGTATCGGATTGAGATCGAGAGAGGGAGCAAACCACTTCCTGCTCTGTATAATGACCTTCAAGTGCAGCAGGTGACAATATTTCCGAGCAGTAATGTCAATATAGGAGTTGCAGACAGCAACGTCTTAATGGCACCCAGGCCAACTCCAGTTGCTGTGCCAACCATCCACAACAGTAATGTCAATGTGGAGGTTGCAACTAACATCCTTGCCATCAAAGAAGAGACGCAACTGACCCCTGCAAATGTTCCGCCAATTGCCCAGAAGGCTGAAGAGCTCAGTTTGAAACCCGATGACATGAATTTGGGGTTGACACTTCCCTTTCTGGTAGAAGTGGAACTCAATAGCACTGCAGGCTTGCTGCAGCAAATTGCCCATCCAACCCACTATGATACTGATATAACCAATTTGGACGATCAATTTCCTCTGAACTTGAACCTGACTCTGGCACAACCTGTGGTGGCTTGCGAAGGATATCAGGCACCTTCGATGGGGTTGTTTGGAACTGAGACGGACAACTTCAACCAAGGGATTGTTGTGAATTTAGATCTTACTCTTGCACCGCCCAAAATAAATTAGGTGCCTTTATTTGCCTTCTTTTGTTTGCTTGCGCACTCTTACCTTTACTTACTTCTCCCACAGATTAGCCAAAAGGGTGAGATATCTCTCTGGGGAGGAAGTTTTTTAATAATGTGTTGGTTTCCTTCTTTCTTTTTCTTGAATATCCCCGACATGTAGTGCTGAAGTTAGTTTATATTTACTTGGAATAGTAATGTACATATCCTTATCTGAGGACTATGCACATTCTGCAGAAATTAAAAAATTCCAATCACATACGCGGAGACTGCTTGACTGGTTAACCCATCTAATTGCTTTGATATAGTCATATGCTTCGTTCCTCCTAAATTCTGAAAATGGCAAGGGAAAGGCCTCAGATTCTTAGGCCTAAAAACACAGGTCTCTTCCTCTCGAAGCTGAAAACCCATCGTAGGGCCGCAGCGGGTTTGTGGATAGTGCTTTCTATGGTGGTGCCTTTGCTCTACCCCGCATCTTGTAAGTCAAGATTTTAGCAAATATTTGTGTTATTGTTTCTTACTTCATTTACACTTTGCAATTGCACAAATGGACACCCAATCCGAAACCCAGTTTCCTTAGATCTAGTATTGTCATGAGACAGTTTGTTATTATCAACCTCCTTTCCCTCAAAACCATGAGTAGTTAGCTTGCTAATTAGCCCTGTGTTGTTATTTATTGTATGGACCAAATCGAGGGTCCATACAATAGTTAAGAAATCAAATTGGAGTTTAACCTAAAAAGTCATAAATAGCCACTTTGGAGGACGGGCCAAGCATCATCCCTCCGTTGACGCACGTCATAATGCCGTCCATGCTAGGAATGTCGACGGGGTCCTGTAGGGACGAGGAGCGATAGAGATTTTTAATGTGGGCAGATTTTATCTCTCATCCTCTTTCCTTGCCAATTAATATCAAACAATATGACATTTATAGATTCTACCCAAGTAACCCAACCATGAACCATCTACAGATTTAAATATGACGTTTTGGTTAAATTTGCTCAGCTTTCAAGTTGAAAAGTTATAAGCTAGAGTAGCAGAAATCAGCCAACAATTGTCCAACTTCAAAATTTCAACAAAAATAACCTACTTTCAATAAATACTGAACCTCAACCCAAACATCAATTATTGGAACGATTAAAAAGGGGGGAAATTGATTTCATAAAGGAAAATTGAACTGGTGGAGAATATAAAGAAGGGGAAAGAAGCTAACTTGGAAGCGGAAGAGGATTCTTCTTCCAACTAGTGGCGTATGTGCTTGACATTACACTTGAAAATCGCCATCGATTACTTCACATCGCTCCTCAGTAGAAGAACCACTGCACTGACACCGGCCACCATCAATATGAAGTTCGTCAATATGGGCAATGTGGTGTTGTTCCTTGTGATGGGCAATGAGAAGACGACGATCGTGATGGCCAATAGAGACAGAGATCGAGAGCTTTTCATTTCGGTTGTAGATTAGTCCGGCGCAAAGGTGAAAGTAAAGGCAGGAGGGTGAGAACTGAGAAGGGCAAAGGGGAGAGAAGGGCAGAAGGGCGGTAATGGAAGGAATAGAGTCTGAGATTCTTGAAGAAGAGTGTAGATAGCAAAGCCACAGAAGGGGAGGGGAAGTTGGGAAGGTGAGAGTGATGAGAAATGAATAAGGATTAGCATTAAATGGTTAATAATGGGTTGGGTTGTACTGGGTTGGATAAAATTGGTTAAACTTAATTTTTATTGGATTATGTTTGGTTTTGAGTTTGAAGGTTGAATTAAACTTAAAAAAAAATTAATTGATATATATATATATTTTTAATTTTTGTGGGAACGAAAATCCCACAAGGTTTCGTGGAGTGGAGAAAATTTTCCACCAAATTTCATAGGGGGAAAATGCCCCTCATCTCCCCCTACAAAGAAGAATATTCCTCCTCATCTCATCCTTGTGGTGAAGCTCCCTGCAGGATTTCACGGGAATCGAAGCAAATTGTCATTCCTATACTCCATCCACAGTTAAAATCCTCCAAATTTTAATGGTAGAATGACATAGCTTGTCCCTTAACTTTCAATTCTTGTGCATTTTGAAGTCAAACTTTAGATTTATTCAATTTGATCCCTACTTTTAACTATTTTATTACAATGTAGTTCCTAAACTTTTGTAAGAGATGCACTTAAATCTCGAAACTTCCAATTTTATGCATTTTGATTCTTTTTTGCACAAATAATAAAGATTATGTAATTTTTAATAAAATTACATTCAAGTATTTAACTTGTTCAAATATCAAAAATCAAGTTTGAAATAGTAAATTAATATATATATATATATTATTCATATCATCAAAGCGTACAATGAAAAATATCTTTGATACTTAATTTGAAATTTTGTGAAATGTTACAATCAAAGTAGTGAAACTATAGAGGATATGAATATAACTTGTGTGTGTAGTGTAAATATGTTTACGTGAATATCATGGATTAATGATAATTTTGGGTAATGTTTTTATAACTATGAGGGCTTGTTTGATTAGAGCACCACTTTACTAGAAACATTTTTACTAGAAAAGTGATTAAAAAAGTATTGTATGAAAAGTTATTAAGTTTTGTAATGAAGTTTTGTTATAATTTTATTGGATTATTAAATTTATTGTATTTGATAAGAAATTGATATATGAAAAGTTGTTTAGTGAGTCCAATACAGGGATGCTTATAGGTAAGCTTTTCCCTTTCAAAATAAGTAGAAAGAAAACTTTATAAGTTAAGAATTATATCAGGAAAAATAAAGGTTAAAAATGTCACTTTTACCATCCTTTTGTTGTAGTATTAATATGTGAAAAGATATAAATAATTTTGTAAGGAGGAACATTTAGAAAACTTTAAGGGAAAAAATTTTACCCAAACCAAACACCTCTTGAGTGTATAATAAGGAAAAGAAGAAAAACATCTCTTATTTACCTTTATTTTGTTGTAATGTTGTTCTTTTTTTTTTTTTTTATGTGAATGATGCGCATACAACTTCCTAAATGCTTTTCCTTTATTTTTTAGGGATCTCAAGCTTGGTATTAGGGGGCTGTTTGCTTTATTTTCCTGTTAAAATGTTCTCCTTCAATATTTTATAAGAATATTTTGATACTTATATATCCTAAAACTATAATAAATAAAAAGAAAAAGTAGCATTTTTATACAACAAAGTTAACAACCCATCAAAATTTCAACAAAACTTAACAACTTTTTATACAGTACTTTAACTAATCACTTCTCTTGAAAAAGTTAGCCTTTAACCAAGCACACCCTAGAGATGTGATTTTAAACTTTGATTAGGTGAATTTATATATTTTAGTTTACTTATTTAGCATTAATTTTTTTAATATTTTGTATGAGTTAAAAATTAACTTTGTTGGATTTTACATGTTTTTTATTATTTGTGCAAAAAATAGTATAACGTCTGAAATTAGAAATTTTGAGACATAAATGAAACTCTTTCAAAAGTTTAGAACTAAATTGCAATAAGAAAAGTTAAAATTAGGAACAAATTGAATAAATATAAACTTTAAGGATCAAAGTGCACAGAAACTAAAAGGTGAGGAACCAATAATGTTATTTTACCATTGGAGGATTTTAACGGATAGCTTATTGGCTGAACCCCAAATCCACCACAAATAGGGAATAGAAATAGATTTCCTCCTAAAAAAAGGGAATAAATTATCTCTTTAAATCATCGATCAAAATAAATAACTCATTATTTAATACATAATATCATCATACGTCAACTTTTCGCCTATCATCTAAGTCTATTTTTAATGAAAAGCTTATACATAATAACATTACATGTCAAATAATAAGTGATCTGTCTTAATTAATAATTTAGAAAGATAATTTTTCTCTATATTTTTTTAGGGCCAAATCTATCCCTATCCTCTTATTTTGGTGGTGGATTTGGGGTTTCAACTAGCCTAATGATGTTATAATGCCATCAACAAAGGGATGATACTTGGCCTTTCTTCAAAGTTAAGGGATTACTATGAATTTTTTAAAAGTAGAAGGATGATAATGACTCTTTTTGTAAAGTTTGAGCATCTTGTGACATTAAGCCATATTAATAATTACCCATTAATTCGAATTTAACA